AACAACTTACAACTTAACTAACAAACTTAAACAACTACTACTTCTTTACTGCAATGTACAATAAAGAAGAGCTTGACTTAAGAGTTTAGGTAACTATCCTGGTTACTCAAATAGAAAAAGAAAATACTTACTTGACATAAATATATTTTGTGTAAGCTCCATTCTTCTCCTAGAGCACAAATCTTAATGTCACTATTTTCACCATTCAAAAATAATGTTTGATAAATATATTTGGATGTACTCTTTAATTTTTTCCTGTTAAAAGAAATGCAAAAGTTTATATGTGTATATATACATATATAAAGCTGAATGTTTTACTGAGTTTGTACGTATTTCAAAATACTCCTCTTGTTCAATTTCTAAAAATACAGTCAACTTATCACTCTGTAAAAGGATAAAGAGATATTACATATTCAAATTTTCTCATTTACAGAAGAGTACATAAGAAACTACTAAGAGTGGAATCTCTGGGGTGCTCTGTTCATAGGAGAGATGACAGTAGATAGATGGGGGCAGCATGAGAGGCAGACCTTTCACTATACACCTGTTAGCAATTTTCAAACTAATTTAATTACCTATTCAATAAATTAAAAAGATAGACCAGCAGGTGGTTTTTGCTAATTTCTTTATTTAGAAACCAACACTACAGAGGATCTCAATATAATTGCAATAATCTGTCATGAGACTAGAAAAATGGAGAAGAGCGAAAATTACTACCCCAGTTATTTTTAAAATAACTTATATTTTATCTTATTTTGGTAGTACATACGATTTTTAAACTAGTTAAAATGCCCCTCCCCCACTGAACAAATGGCTGGCAGCCTTAGATCAAAGGTTTTCAAATCTATGCTCAAGAAAGGAGCATCTTAGGGAACACCAAGGAAAGCTGAGGGATGAACTCCGGACATCTCACCTAGCTTCAAACAGAGCAGCACCACCTATTTGTAAACATAAGGGATTTCTGTAAAAGAATTAATTTAAAGGAAGAACTGAATTTTTAAATAAAGCTTAAAAATCATGGCTCAAGATAATCCATTAAATAAGGTCACAGGCAGAGGCTGATCAGTATCTTTTAATTCCTGTCCAATTCCGACAGCTTTCCTAGTATATAAGACTTTTAAATCTCTTTTTAAAAATGAAGGAATTGCTTCTGATGGTGTAATAAACCAATGCTTCCCTACGGCTAATAAAAATAACACAGACATAGATCGGAAACCTAGCTCCGTCACACCTCAGTTACCACAGCTGTAAAAAGAAGATATTAATATTATCCACTGCATTGGTTATAGTGAGAAGTAAATGAGACAATGCACTTTATAGTTCCCAATAGCAGAATGAGCATATGTTTACTTCCTGTTTCTCACCAAAGTACATTAAAAATGAAGAGTACAGAAAGGATTAAGTCCACAACAGCATAAAGGTGGGTTCATTACCTAATGACAGACAGACGTGGAAATTAGAAAATAAACTGGAGGCTCGGCGCCTGTGGCTCAGGTGGCTAAGGCGCCAGCCACATACACCTAAGGTGGCAGGTTCAAATCCAGCCCAGGCCCGCCAAACAACAATAATGGCTGCAACCAAAAAATAGCTGGGCCTTGTGGCGGGCGCCTGTGGTCCCAGCTACTTGGGAGGCGGAGGCAGGAGACTCACTTGAGCCCAGGAGTTGGAGGTTGCTGTGAGCTGTGAAGCCACAGCACTCTACCCAGGGGGATAGCTTGAGGCTCTAAAAAAAAAAAAAAAAGAAAAAGAAAAAAAAATAAACTGGAATGAAAAAGAGCAGTGAAAGACATAGGCCAAAATATATTATGAAGGGATAGGATGAAGGTTAAGGGTATCTGCTCTTCAGACTCCTGGCAGTGGGTGGAGGGAGGATGATGTTTCAGAGAAACAAAAGACAGAAGTAAGAAGTTGGGTAGAAAATGGAGAAACATATTCCTTTATTAATGGCCTCTGCCATGCTCTATGAACACAGAGTACAAACAGGCAAAAAGTTTCCAAGCCTTTTCTTGAATGAAATAGAAAAAAAACCTACAAGGAAGATCGAAGGCTTTAGTGTACGTGCTGGTGCCCCAGACAAAGCAAAACTCAAGCTGGCATTTGAAGAATCTATAGCCTGCTAACTCCCAACTCTTTCACCCTAAGTCATGATTCCCAAACTGTGTGTCAAAGCACATGGAGCACCACAGCAAACTCAGAGAAACATATGAGCAAATTTGCAAGAAACAAAGTGACATCTTTCAAATATTCAATCTACTACTAAGTTGGTTGGCCCTAACTTGAGGTATTTCTTTTGGACTAGAAGTGCCAAGAAAAATATTACTAAGACATTAAGGATGCTGTAATCAAGAAAGCTTGAGAGGGCGGGCACAGTGGCTCATGCTCATAATTCTAGCACTCTGAGAGGCTGAGGTGGGATTGCTTGAGCTCAGGAGTTTGAGACCTGAGCATGAGTGAGACCCTGTCTATACTAAAAATGAAAAACTGAGGCAAGAGGATCTCTTGAGCCCAAGAGTTTGAGGTTGCTGTGAACTATGACACCACAGCACTCTACCCAGGGTGACAAAGTAAGACTCTGTCTCAAAAAAAGAAAGAAAGCAAGCTTGGGAACTGCTGCTCTTTTTAAAACAAAGCATACTTTACCCAGAACCAACTTAGTTGTTAAACTTTCTACTCAAAGAAGAGGTATGTTGGAAACATCTATTTACTCAATTAAAACGTGTGCACACCAATTATTTACTCTTAAATAAATGTAAGTGGACAAACTAGAATCACCCAACATGAGGAAAATTACAAGCATTAAAGACCAGAGAGAAAAATTGGCCACAGAGTAAATATATAATTCAGGGAAAAGAGAACTTTAAAAACAAACCCTTTCGTTAGTATACCTAGAGATCTGAGATTATTACATTTATAAAGTAGAAGGATGCTAAAAGATTATTCAGAGTAACAAGTTTTTAGAGACTAAAAATATATTCCTAAAATTAAAAAAGCAAAAAGATGACAGATGAAAAAGTTAAGGATATTTCCCAGAGCACAATGCAAGAAGACCTATCATTGAAAGGAAAAAAGAAAAGAGAAAGAAGTATAATCTAAGAAATCCAAAATTCTGTTCAGTGAGTGATACAGTTTGGATATTTGTCCTCTCTAAATCTCATGTAGAAATCTGATGCCCAGTGTTGGAGATGAAGGCATTTCAATCATGAGGGCAGATCCCTCATGAACATGGCACTGGTATCACCCTTGTGGTAATGAGTACATTCTCAGTCTAGTAGTTCCCCTAAGATTTGATTGTTAAGGACCAGGCACGGTGGCTCATGCCTATAATCCCAGCACCCTGGGGAGGCCAAGGCAGATAATCACCTGAGCTAGAGTGAGACCCTGTCTCTAAAAATAGCCAGGTAGTGTGGTAGGTGCCTGTAGTCCCAGCTACTCGGGAGGCTGAGGCAAGAGAATGGCTTAAGCCCAAGAGTCTGAGGTCGCTGTCATGACATTCTACTGGGGCAATAAAGTGAGACTCTGTCTCAAAAA